CATGGCTTGACACTCGGGGGTTTTGGATCAAAGCCTTCCCAGTGACAGAGCAATGTCCACATTGCACATGAATCCAGATGCAATTCATGCTGCCCTTGGACTGTCCTGCTCTAACAGTAATGCAAATCTTTCACTATGGTTTCACATACCTAATTCACATCTTCACCTATGCACTCCTGAACTGAGTGTTTGGATTGGACATGTCATAGTTAAAAAAATATATATTTCAATTGCTTTTTGGTGATTTGGTGGAGTTTGCTTCCAGTTTTCTTCTAGTTGAATAACTAAATGAAGTTTCAGCTCTTGTCTGCTGATCACACTTGGCAGAGCAGCAAGACCTAGTTAGTATCTAGAGCTCTGGCAGCACTACAGTGTAGAAATCACTTCCCACAAGGGATTATTTAATTGGCTTTCTTGCTAACCTTTTTCTGTAGGAAGGCGTTTACATGACAGCTCGTCCATCAGGTGTCTGAGGTCAGCTGTCTGCTCCTGAAATGCCTGTTTTTTTCCTGTGAATGTAGAAGAGGAATAAATTATGCTGGTAGGATCCCTTGCTCAGTGTCTGTGTTTGCACAGAAGTTGATAGGGCCTCTGGAGAGGCTGCACCTCCTGCTCAGAGCAAGGTCCCATTGGCCAGGGCCACATATCCAGTCAGGCTTTGAGTATCTCCAAGGATAAAGGCTCCACAGCTTCTCTCAGCAGGCTGTGCCAGGGTCTGACTACCTTCAGCAAGAAAAAGGATTCTCTTTAAGCAGAATTTCTTGTATTTCAGTTAGTGCCCATGGCTCTGTCTTCACTATCCTCCCCATCATGCATTTAAGATGAGATCCCCTGAGCCTTCTCTTCTCCAGGCTGGGCAGTCTCACCTCTTGCTCTCTGCTCACACAGCAGTTCCGCAAATCTGTTCTACTTCCCTGCTCACTTCACTAGGTCCATGTCCCTCCTGTACTAGGGAGCCACAAACTAGACCTGGCACTCAAGATGTGGCCTCACTAGTCCTGAGAAACATAGAAACAGGGTAATCTATTGTATATCAGAGACCTCACTTTTGGGATCCTTGTTAATGGGTGTGATAGAAGTACTGACACTGCAGTGGGAAACCAAACTGTCTGTGGAGCATTTCTGCAAAGCAGTAGGGGCTGTAGGTTTTATTTTCCCTCCTGCATTTTCTTTTACAAGCTGCTATGCTTCCCTAACAGTGTTTTCTAAACACAGCTTCTTGAGACGTTCTCCAAGCAGCTCAGGGGTTGTGTTCTCTGCCTCAGGCTCGGGGCCACCTTGCTAAAAGGGCTGAGGTGAGAGCAGCCACGTTCTGTGAGCAGCAGTTGGCCTCACCTTATGGCAGCACAGCATCTTGGGTTTCTCTTTCCTTCCTGGATGGATGCTGCAGGCACTGGGCTGCCTTGTGGCTGCTGCCAGCTTGGATGGCCCCAGGATCCAGCACTGCAGGACAGGGGAGTCACAGGGAGGTGATGCAGACACTGACCTGTCTGCACAGCACAGGACAGAGAGGAGAGGCTGCTGGGTGTGCGGCTAAAAGTTGTGATTTGTTTTCAGCTGTATTTGGAACAGTCCCTAGCTGTTACCTTTGGACACCCTCTGGGTGCTTCTATATATAAAAGCAATAAACCATCTTTTTTTTTGTTTGCTTTGTTTTGTTTTGTTTTGTACACCATTGCTTGATATCCTGTCATCTATCCCCAAGGAATTTATTTTTATGCTCTCCATTAGTTTAGTGACACCCCATCCCCCCTGCAGGTTTATATTTCTGCTCCCAGGGGTATTTTGGTTCAGCCTCGTTTGCTGAATCTCATAGATCTGTGCTTCTTCCCTGTCTATGGTGTCTTCTGAGAAATGTAACTTTAATTTAGCTTTTTATTTTATTTGTCAAAGAAGAGGCTGACAGTGGGGTTCAGTGCTTACGCAGGAGCAGAAGCGAACAGTAAAGCTGATAGGAATCAAGACTCAGCGGTTCAGGGGCAGAGGAGTTCCTTCCCTTTTGAGGCTCATTCTACCAATGGTCGCATTCTGCAGCCACAGAGGTGGGAAGCTGGTTCCCTCCATGTCGGCCAAGAGCAGAGGTGCTGAGGGACTGTTCCTTGCAAAGGGTGACAGGGAGAGGGTGCACATCATGTGGAGAGAACCTCTGCTCCGAGTAGCACCCAGCCTGGGTGGGCATGCACAAGGAGAAGAGGGTTTCTTGTTAGGACTACCAAGTCCCACAGAACTGTTCAAGGCCCAAAACAATCTTTTGGCTCACAACTCCCAAATGTTACCCACCTTTGCCTATCCAGCCCTTTCACTGACTGAAGCCAAAAGCAACCTGGCTGCTGAGGTATGTGAATATTGTGCTGTTCTGGCCTTTGTGGTGAGAGCCTTCAGAAAGGCATTACCTATTTTATGGTTAACCATTTCACTCTGAACCATTTGGTATTTTCCTGGACTCAGGCAAAGACCTGGTCCTGATCTTCCAGACCAGGGGGAATTGGGGCGGGGGCCATCAGTGGGGTTCCAGCTCTGTTGAAGTCAGCTGTGGATGGTGTAGCGCTAAGGGAACTCACTCCTTCTATAGGCTCACCCAGTAACTTTAATTTTTTTTTTTATAAATATATGTACATTTCATGTTTCATCTTTACTCTGTCACAGAGCCACAGGCAGTTGAACAGTGCCACCAGTGGCACAAGGTCTTATACAACATCCTCTATTTTTAATAACATGTGAAGTTCATTAGGGATTGCAGGCATCACAATATATTGTTTCAGACATGATCGCTTCCACATTTCCTTTTCCTCGGGGAAGAGCTGAGGTTTCTTTCCGTTAGTCTGCAAACCTGTGGTTGAGACCACACTTCATGGACAGCAGATGTTCCACTCTTGCTTGAGTGCCAAAGGATTACATGGAAGATCCGAAAAGTGATGCTTGTTCTGGCCCCCAGCAGATGGTCCACATGTGCTCAGGACAGCTTCCCTGTGGAGGCAGACAGCAGCTGTCCCCCATTCAATCCCTCCGTCCCTGTGACCACAAAATACAGGACTGAACACATAAAATAACATTGCTGCGGTAAGCAAGGATGAGGAATCTTCTAGAAGTTCCTCCTCTTTGGCTTTTCAAAGAAAATTTGTAGCTCATATTGTACAGTAAGAAAATTGTAAGAATAACAGGAAACTTATAAATGTAGCTCTGAAATGACAAGGTCAGTTTTGTCATCCTGGATCCAACAAGTACAGCAGGGGCAAAGCCACCCTTCCCTGTGCTCCTCCCAGCTTCAGAAGAGCAAAACATCTATGAGGAATGGTGCTGGCAGGAGTTTAGCTTTGTGAAAATAGAGAGATATGAGCAAGAAATCTGCTGAGAGTGACTTGTTATTTTTTATATTTGATAGACTGACTTCTTCACGTCCTCTCTGGGAATATAATTTGGCATCCATCTCCATGGCTGTTTTTCAGATTCACACTCCATACCAAGATGGTCCAGCTCTAGCACCCACAACTTCCATGAAGCTCAGCATTGCAGAGTCCATGGCTTTCACACTATTCCTCTTTCCATAAAAGCCCTGTTTATTTCTCCAACCACACATTTGTATTTTAAGACCTTGTGCTTTATGACCAGTCAGGAGTAAAGCCAGCAACGCTTCCAGCATTGCTGCTTTGCCTTCATGTGTATCTCAAAATAATGGAGGGAACATCTGCCAAAGGAACTAGAGGATTTATATTGAGACAAGCTGATTTGTAGCGTGTAATCATGACCTACAGCAGAGAGTCTTGGAAAATGGCAGGAGCAGGATCCAAAGTAAAGCTCACTGAAGGGCTGTGCAAAAGCGACCTAACTTCACATGCAGTCCTGCAGCAGCCAAAACTTCAGACTGGTGTGAGGCGTTGTCTTCTACATGGATGGTCCTCTCTCCTACATGGGATGCCAGAGAAGTCATCACCACCTCAGTGAGTGAAGGAGAGGGACTCTTGGTGCCACTGCAGCTCTGCTCATTGCAGAGGAAGTGGGAGGCAGCCTGGGAAGGACTGGCTCCATGCTGGGATCTGAAGTGCCACCTCCCTCAGCACCACTACTGCTGCCAAACAGGGCTGAGGGAGGGACCTTCCTTCTGGGCTAGCTTGTATTTCAGAATGAAATTTCCCAGCAGCAAGGGAGGAAAGGAAGGAAATCTTACTTTCCTATAAAAGGATTCCCTGCCTGTATCCTGTGTATAGCATGTGACTGAGATGATAACAGGGCAGGAGGGGGAGAATCCTATAAAGCTTATTACAGGGTGGGAGGCTTTCACTTCCTTTCTTTTCCCCTCTGCCTTTGTTATCTCCTTCAGATATATCCCTGGAGCTGCTCTGAAGAGAAAGACAAGTAGAAGAAAGCACTCCAATCACATTGACACAACTCCATTCTTTCAGCAAGATATAGAGATATTTTTATTTTATAGTCATTTGAACAGCGGAGAGTTTGGCAATAGTGACAACCTCAGAAGCGTGCACTCTGCATTTGTGTGTGTGTGTGTGTTTCGCTTTTGTCTGAGTTTTTGTGTTTTGGGAGCTCTCCCCCTGTTGTTTTTTTCCACAGAGGCGCATTTTGGTATCTGTGTCCTGGGGGGGGTCTTGTGTTTTGACCTCTCCCCTGTGGGCGCGGGGTGTGTGTTCTCCACTGTGGGGGTTTTTTTTCTGCGCTGGACTGAAAAGAACCACTGACATTTTTATCCAAAAGCCAGAAAAGCTCTGTTAAGCTGCCAGGGTGATCTGCACTTCTTTCCCACCATTACTGTTTTTGTTGTGGTTT